CTTTTTTCAATTGATCCATTTCGATAATAGTGTTCAAATAGTGTTCAAAAAAAATTTTTGATAAAAACGGCTAAGTATTTTTTTGTAAGAAAAAATTTGCGAGGTATTGACTTAGAGAAAGTAAATTTTCTCTTAAAAAAAAAACAATTTAAACAAAAATTATTTCCAAAAAATATCTTTTATGAAAAAAGTGTTTTTTTTTGTGAAAGAAAAAAAATTAAAAATATGCCAAAAGATTAAATTAGAGAAAGTAAATTTTTTCTTTCAAAAACAATTTACCAAAAAATTTTTATGAAAAAACAACAATTTTAAATAAACACTGTAAATATGTAAACTATTACAATAAGTACAGAAAAAATCACAAAAAATAATTTTTCTTTTAAAAATAGAAAAATCCACGACAAAAAGAAATGCAATTTACTAATAATGATTTTACACACCCTTAATCTCCAACGAAAAGTTAAAACAATTAAAATAAAATAAATTTCCCCACAATAAAAAGTTTTTTTTAAATACCTTGTTCATTCTTGTTGTTAACTAGTAGATTCTGGCCTCTTTTTCTTCTCGAACACTATGAAGCACTCCCAAGGGAGCTTGTAGATTTTTCTTTTTTAATGAACCCAAAAATTTCCAATTTGAATCCGGCTCGAAGGACCATGAAAAAATACCGGTGTTACTTCCGAATATTTCTTTGGTAAAAATGTTCTGTAGCATATGTCGCTGGTGTTAGAAGAATTGGGTTCTTTTGTAGAAATAACTAACGAGTCATAGGTAGAAGAAAAAGAAGTGTTTTTTTATTTGCTATTTTTACTAAAGTAAATACAAAGTAGTTATTCCATTTAGATATAATAATTTTCTTATCTTCACTAAACACTTTTAAATATTTACAATTTTAGTTCATCACAATTTGATTAACTAATACAGTTGATTTTTTAGTTACCAACTTGAAAACATTTTTTTGTAGAACTTCTTATGCCATAATAATTGTAGAAGATATAACTTTCACCAGAAAATAAAATGCATTAAACGCTTGTAAAAATGTAGAAAGTAACGTGCCGTCGGCAGAAAGCACCTGAACGTTCGGATGGCAGACAACTGAGAGCGATGATGGCAAAAAGACAACTATTCAGTAGTTGTCTTATTGCCACAAACGAGTAGTTGTCTTTTTGCCATCATCGCTCTCAGTTGTCTGCCATCCGAACGTGCAGGTGCTTTCTGCCGACGGCACGTTACTTTCTACATTTTTACAAGCGTTTAATGCATTTTATTTTCTGGTGAAAGTTATATCACAGCTTATACAATACAGCTCCACAACTCCGTGTCGGCGTCTTTGATCTGGCGGTCGAGAACCAAGCAAGACGGAATGGTGCTATCTCTGTTGGATTAAAGGGAAAAGTCGGGTCCGGATTAAGCAATTTTTTTATTATTGAAAAAATTGAAAACCTTGACGTAATAAGGTTGGTTACATGCCATGTTAAGTAAGTTTTGGGAAATTAAATTTTTAATTTGTTTTAAATCTGTCAAATATAATTAAAAAATTATTTAAATATAAATATTACGAAAAATAGCACATCTTTCGGATTAGAGGTAAAATAATTTGTATGTGGCTAGTAAAATCCTCGTTAACAAATGTTTTGAGCTAAAACAGTCACTTCACGACAAATTGTGACTTGGATCCTTTTTACACCAAGGGCTTCAATTGTTAAAGAAATGTGTCACGCTCGTGGATGCAAATCAAGTGGTACCCCGTGTCTCTGGCAAGTGTTACTCTTCGCGCAAAGGGTTTATACCTAGATAAACGAATACTTCGACTGAGGTCTGCGAACTCTATGGTATTTTGGAATTATAAAGAATTTGTGCTTTTATTTTAACAATATTGGTTATATTTAGATGTATTCTTATTAATTGAAATACAGATTTGTAGAAGTAATACTTTGACAGTTTTTATTAATATAATATATTCAATTTTTATCTGACCATACCGAAGTAGGGAATTTTGAAACTTTATAGTAATGTGAAATTTGAATTACAATATTACACGATATTACATAATTAGTACTTATTTTAGGTAGGTACTAAATTTGTACTTGGAGAAAGTAATATCGATTTTTACAAGAAAACTTGAAAAGTAAATTAATTTAGTTCTTATTTCTGATGTAAAACTTAAACCAAGAAAACAAATAAATTGTAGTTTGTTCAACAAGGGTGGATATGATAGCCATATCACACAAAGACGAAGTTTGAGCACGACGTCGTAGGCGGAGTACTCAATCGTCTGATTGTGATATGAACAATCCACTCGATATGGTCAGTATATTTTTTTTACGACCCACTAACGAAAATCTACAAATTTAAAAAAATATTTTAGGTTATTTAGACAAAATAACTAATTTTAAAATAATTTACGAAGTTGACTAATTTATAAAATAAAATAAACATGAAAAATTAATTAGTCCTCGGCCTAGATTCGATCCCGGGCTTTTCGCATGAAAGGCAGATGTTCTGTCCTCATCTTCACCGAAACTTTCAGGACTTTAGTTTTAATACTCGTAATTAAATTAGTATCATGTAGTTTGATTAAAATTTATTTTTTTTAAATGTGGACATAATAAAAACAAAAATGCTATTATTTATCGAGTCTACACAAAAATTTTAATGTATATTTAATATCAATAACTAAAATATATATTGACAATTAGTTTAACAGAATTGTCACTTATTTAAAAAATTTTAAATAATAGGAGTTGGGTGACCAAAATATGAACTGTGATTTGTAGATTTAATTTTGTTAGTGTTCTCACTACCTAAAATGGATATGAAATATATTCGTAGTTGAACGCAATAACATAATTTTTTGTTTTGTAGTATGTGCGTAGATTGGCTAATATCCATGCACAGATTACAAAACGAAAAAGTATGCTATTGCCTTCAATTGAACGAATATATTTCATATCCATTCTAGGTAGTGAGAACACTGCAAAAAAAAATAAATTCGCCAATCACCGTTCATATTTTGATCAACCGACTGCTATTATTTTTAAAATTTTAAATAAATGACAATTCTGTCAAACTAATTGTCAGTATATTTTTTAGTTATTGAGATTAAACATACAATAAAATAAGTTATTCTTTTGGAAAACGTTAGCATGGATGACTAAAGGGTATTGAGTTAATTAATTCTAAAAGTGTGGTACAAATGTTATTTTTTGTAGCCAATTCTTCAAAATTATTTTAAAATATCTTTTCAATATTGAATATTAGTTCTACAAATTCATCATTTGACAGTTGCAGATTTCCAAATGTATCTGAATTGGCGTTATCATATACCTTTTAAAAGCAATAAAAAGAAAAATCGTCTAATTCAACGTGATCTTTGTTATATTTAAGACAGGTATCGCAGGAGTGGATCCGCAAGGCTTTTATTAAAAGGTAACCACACACATACCTGATAAAATTTTTCTGTAGCAATTCGTCTTTACAATAATTTAGGGCGTTAATAATTTCATCATAAAATAAAATACAAGGTGTTCCATTTAAAAAACATACATTTTAATTTTCCAGGCAAAAACGTGACACCCTGTATATCCAAAGATATTTTTAAAATATGTAGGTATTTTTCAAATCCATATAACTTTTATTTAAAACTTTCTTGCGTGTCTACAACAAATTAATGAACAATAACGCACTAATGAGACACCCTGTATAAATTATATTTTTAACAATGAAAATTTCTTATAATGTAGTACTTATCGGTTTGGGTCCTTGGGAAAACTAAAGAATGTTTTCTTGCAGGTATAACCCTTATTAAAACAGCTTTTGACTGCACAAACTCATTCTACTCACAGCTAAAGAGTCACCAAAATAATAACAGTACCTTTAACTCAAACAAAATCAACGAAATTATAGGCTCCACGAAATTATACAATCAACGAAATTATACGCACGACTCAACACCTTACCTAAGTACGCTTCTGAATGCCAAAACCGTCTTTTCCCTTCGAAGGCGGAGCTTAAGCGATGCGCGACGAAATCGACGCAAACCGTTGCCGCCAAGAGAGTGTTTTAGCTGTATTGTATAAGTTGTGGTTATATCTTCTACAATTATTATGGCATAAGAAGTTCTACAAACAAATGTTTTCAAGTTGGTAACTAAAAAATCAACTGTATTAGTTAATCAAATTGTGATGAACTAAAATTGTAAATATTTAAAAGTGTTTAGTGAAGATAAGAAAATTATTATATCTAAATGGAATCAACCACTTTGTATTTACTTCAGTGAAAATAGTAAATAAAAAACACTTCTTTTTCTACTACCTATGACTCGTTAGTTATTTCTACAAAAGAACCCAATTCTTCTAACACCAGCGACATATGCTACAGAACATTTTTACCAAAGAAATATTCGGAAGTAACACCGGTATTTTTTCACCATCTGATGTTGAGGATTGTTTTATATTTGATTTAATGTCTTGCAAACCAAATAATGAACTGCTGGATAAATACGCAGACTATCTATTACAATATTATATAGCACCTGATTCCGATTTTCCACCAAATATATGGGCAGACGAAAATCCATCTATAAAACGAACCACAAACGCTTGTGAATCGTTCCATTCTAAATTGAATTCTTCATTTTAATCTTGCCACCCTTCAATATTTATTTTTATAGAAAAGTTAAAAGAACTCCAGATCGATTTATATTTAAAAATAAAAAGTTTAAATATTACAGCAAAAATAAAAGACAAGCAAGTCAGAAATAAATTAAAATTTATTGAAAATATGGTAAATATGCTTCGATCTGGAAAAATTTCTAGATTTAATTACATATCCCCTTTAGGTACCTGTCCTTTTTCCGGCCGAAATTACATCCGCCCCGCTATTTGTTTATTGATACTATTAATTGCTCAAAAGAAGTTCAATAATTAATATATAAATTAATAGGAGTAGATAAAACTAGTAGATAAATATAACAGAAAGAAAATTTCCATTTTTTTTAGATAACAAAAATTTTAGTTCATCCAAAATACAGAGGATTATTACAGAAGTTCGCATCAGATATAGCATTTTTAATAACAAAAGATCAGTTATTATTTTCCAAGGTTGTACAACCTGTATGCTACCAAAATATACCTAATATTCATCTAAATAATAGAATGCAAGGAGTGGTAAGTAAACTAAATATAATATGATGATTGGTTAAAATTTTTAATTTAAAGATATGTATTAATAGATTCAAATGAATAAAAGAAAATACAAAATCAGTAACACATAAATGTTTATTCACTTTAAAGGTGCAACTAGTTTCAGCAAAGGAGTCATCTTCAGACCTATAATTGAACATTAAGAATTGACAGGTAACAACGTAAAACGAACAATAATATTTTATTCGATTGACATTAAATGTCACTTTTAGTGAGATTTCTCGACCATAGAAAGTAACACTACTGTCTGGGCATTAAAATCATTGGCTGTGTTCACCGTTTTAAAATCAGGGAAACACATTTCATAAGCGGTTGATATGACACTGAACGATCATTTTTGTTTACGGTTTGTTTTCTCAACCTTAAACCTTAAACAAAATTGAAGATTGGCACACAGAAGGTTATGTTTATTGACTGTATTGTATTCCTTTTTCGTATTATTTTTGAATAAGTTGTGACAGAGACAACAGAGACGTGTAACTAGGAAAAATTGTTCGGTGGTCCATTTAAATTACATATATGACTTTATTTCTCTTTTACATTGATCTTTACATATATTTATCTCCGTCCAATAAAACTAACATCAATCAAGAGGTCGCTGATGTTGCTGGTTTTTTGACGTCGACGTATCGTTTAAAACTGACAACTGACAATGTTATGAATGTTGTAATGAACGTGTGCATTTTATTAAAATTAATTTAATTTGGGCCCCGTTTATTTCTTTGAGTCTGATTTTGTTGTTTAATTAATTTTCTTTGGGGGGTAATGTTTATTTTTGCATATTATTTTTTGCATGAAGCAATTTCTGGAACCAAACTCGCGTTTTTGTACACATTTCATTCTAGAGGTAAGTTATTTCCAATAAATAATATTTTTAATTAGTATTTTATTCTCTGGTATCTCTGGTATTTTTGAGGAGTGGCTCGTGGCCATGCGGCCTTAAGAGGCCCCGACACCAATTTTATTCATAATTGAAAAAGTTTTTGGACGGCAACTTCTTTATTTTCAAACTTAGAAGAATGCGGTTTTCACCGATTTATTCTAGATCTAATTATTAAGAGAGCACTAGTGGCACATTTTTATATTTTTTTTTTATTTTGCAAATAGGATGTAATTTTTTTTAATGAAAATAAAATTTAAAAAACTAAAACTAGTCCTCTCTTTTTATAAAAACTACAAATACAATGAAAAAAACCGCATATTTTTATTTACAAAATTAAACCTTCCACCGTCCAAAAACTATTTACGACCGTAATATGGCGCCCCGCTAATTTCGTTGCGGAATATATCCGTACTATCTTTAGAAAGCGAGAATACCTGAGATACACGGAAAAACAGTTTTTATATTAAAAGGATAAAATTGAAGTTTTTAAATATATGCGGATGTATTTTTTTCGTTTAATTTATTAAAAAATTATAAGTTATATGTTGTCTCAAAACGCGTGGATCAATGGAGTTAATTTATTTATTTTTTATTTTTCTACCTCTAAAGCTAATACCACAGCTTATTCATATCCAGCTAGAACACTCTCTTGGCGGGAACGGTTTGCGTCGATCCCTTCGCGCAGGTTTTATGCTCCGCCTTTTCGGGGAAAAGATGTCTTTGCCGTGCAGTCGGGAGATCGGTATTACTTATTCTACGTTAAGCGGACATAGCCGTGCGTATATTTTTGTGTTTAATTTGTAATTCTTTTGAACATTTGTGTTTTATGTTTATTTTTTACTGTAGTAAAATGAGTGACAAAAAACTATCAGGACATCATCATGTTTGTGCAGTGCGAAATTGTTTTAATAAAGGTTATAATTGTAAGAAGAAATTCTATTGTTTTCCTAAGGATGCTAACCGGTAAGTACTTACCTACACGATATTTTTTGCATATTTTGATGAAAAGTAAACTTTCGATTATTTGCTATGTTGTAGTAAAAGTAATTTAAAGTCATACAAAATCTTCTTTAATTATGAGAAGCTATGTTTGGCCTGTATAAATATATACCTAAGTAGTTATTAATTTAATACTTGTTAAGGTAAAAGAGGGTTTATTGGTGGTTTTGTTTAATATTTTTGCGAATCGAAATAATAAAATATGTATATCAACAAATATTAATTGGAAGCAAATAGATACAGTATGCGCCAGATCTAAAGAACCAAGGATGCGCATTTATAATGCTACTAACACGCCTACGGATGAATAGAATTGGTAGCTTACCTAGAAAGTTGTAAACCAGAGATCCGTATATTTTAAGACATAAAATAAATGGAAAATAGTAAATGATATATATTGATACATATTGCTTAGTGTTATTATTAGTACATAATTCTATAGTCAATTAAAAAAATCATTATTTTTAGGTAAACCGACTTTATATTAAGGCTGTTCTACCGCTTTCCGTTCGGTATTTATATAAAATTTTGTTACGGTCAGGAAATTATCCTTTTTCAAATAAATTAAATTGTGGAAAAATTGTATATTGGTCAAACGGACCGTAGTTTAAAAAAAAGCTATTTAAAACATTACAATAGTTATACTAAAAACAAAAATAATTCTACAAAACATATTTTTTTCTGAAAATCAATCGTTTATGCAAAAATTGTTTCACATTTTGAGAATAAAGGCATTAAATTAAACCATTTAGAAACACTTGAAATAAATTGATTTAAAAATTTAAATATCCTCTTAAGTGATCAATTAGATATTAATAAGTAGCCTATTAAATCTCTTTACCTGTTCTTAGTTTTCTGTGAGATAATCCCGGTAATGATATTTTAATGGCATTTATTAATATATTTCTCTTAAGTACCTACTTTAACTATTTTATTTTATTTATTTTGGATATATATTAGAAATGTAAATGAGTTACATTTGAAGAAGAAGTTGTACTTAGAAACAATTGTCGTGCAATTTTTAATTTTTATTTCTTTAAATAAAAATGTGAAAATCTACCATGTTTGGTTTTTCTCATTTTAATAATATGGATTTGCATCAAGTAAAGACCGTAATATTATATTAATGTTAAATTTAGTATTTTTTTTACATTTATTAGGAAACAAATTTTTTTAGAAACAGAAGATAAATTTAAAAAATTTAAATATAAAATATTAATCAAAAATAAAATGCACAGATATGTGTGTAAAATACAAAAAAATATGGAAAACTACACAAGTTTAATTCCAAATAAACTACAGGGTATGTTTACCTGTTGCTTGTGCAGTTTGATATCATCTAAAGTAACTCCTTCCTTTTTTGTTGCGTCAAAATACTCGTATTTAAAAACATTGTATATTACTTCACGACTTTGTCCGTTAATAACAAATCTGCGCTTTTTTTCACCCACAATAGAAGACATTATTAAAAATAAAACCAGTCACTTTAACCAAAACACAGAAACAAGAAACAAACAATGTTCTAGTCGTTACGCTACTGACCGTAAGCAAGGACAAGGTTCAAATTGTGAATGGGCGTGGCGATTTTTAAGTAAACGAACTTGAGCATTTGCGCTGGTTCTTCAGATTTGGCGTTTACAATACCTATATAGCATTGTTTAAAAATATATTTAAATATTTACAGAGCCAGAACATGGGCAATGAAAGCCAATCGAGAGGACCTATTTGAAAAACTAATCGCATTATATAAAAGTTACTCGATATGTGAAGACCACTTTGAAGAGAAGATGTTCACGAGTCACTTTCGTACAAGATTGGTAGCCATTGCAATTCCTACCCTATTCCCGTTCCTCGAGGGGAGTTCCACAACTGAAGACCATACGTATAGTGCACCGCTCTTGCAACTTCCTGCGAAAATACGAGTTCTAGATGACAGACTGATAGCTCCACCTATCACACCTGCACTATTTGATTCAGGTACTAAAAATAATAGTGTTTTACTTAAAATTAAATATAATGTTTTATATACAGGGTGAAGCGAGGGGTGAACCTAATTTGTTCCACTTTTAAAAGACTACAACTTTTTTATTTTTTAACTTTTTAAAACAAGCTAATAATCACATGATTATCTTTAGCTGTAAAATTTTGTTATAGCTTTTGATCCGCCCTAAATAAAAAAAAATCATTTTTAAGCAAATAAATCGTTCTTTATACTTATTCATCTAAGTTGTTATTTAAAGTTTAAATAAAATGTATTTTTGCAGCTAACCAGACAAATCTAGTTGAAACCGAGCTCAAAATCGAGGTTCAACATGAGATCGCTCTGAGTCCAATTACAGACAGTCCTCCTCTGACGTCTCCAACATTTACCCAAACGTCAGCCAGTTTATCCTTCGATACACCAAGAAAAGTTAAATACAGGCAGCATATCAAGTCCATAACTGCCGAAAACAAATATTTACGACAAAGGGTTGAGGTACTTGAAAAAAATAATGAATTGGACAATATATCTTTGGAGCAATATATGTCCCTAACATATAAATTTTGCAATCCAGACATTGCAAAATGTGTTAATATGCAAGTATCACAGGGGCATAAACATCCAAAGGGAAGACGTTACAGCAAAGAATTTAAAATTGAATGCCTATCAATATATTTTGCTGGTCCCAGAGTTTATAAAAAATATTTAATGTCTAAATATAGCCTTCCCTCGCCTAACACTTTGCTAAAAGAAATCAGAGCAGTTAAGATAGGACCAGGATTAGATAATCCCGAGTTCTTCATTTTATTAAAAAAAAAAGTTGACAGTTTCCAGTCTCAAAGCAAATATTGTTTATTGTGCTTCGATGAAATATCAATAAAAGCAAATTTATTTTATGAACGAAATCAAGATGACATCATAGGGCTAGCAATGGGCGATACAGGGGAAAAGATTTTTAAACCAACTTTAACTGTCAGTGTACTTATGGTAAGGGGAATTTATTCGAAATGGAAACAGCCGATAGCCTACTTTTTATGTCATACTTCTTGTTCTGCTAATCTATTACATAAACTATTAAATGAAGCTGTGCAAAAAACAACA